AAATATTTAAGTTTTCAAAATGTTTGCTGGAAAGGTTTTGGACAATAGACCTCGATGTCGATCATCTAGTTGACCCTAAATGACAAAGTTGACAGGTCCCAACCGCTCTCGGACTAGCCAATGTTAGAAAATCGAAGGAGCTCTTCAAACAAGATAGTACTGTCTCATACAACCTTCAGTAATGAAGAATACGATTAAGGAGATAACGGAAAATGTCTGCAGTGAAAGTTAAATAAACCTTCCACCATCGTAAACCACTTTTTGAAGTAATAGCGAGAATAGGCTTACTACCGCTGGCAATTAAGTGCAGACACTAAATAACCTCACCTAACCCCGACTTCGATTTACGCAAAATCAATTAACACTAGGCGTTTATAACAAATAAACGTAACGTTACTATCCGAACAGTTAAATTATAGTACAGCGCTAACTCGCGATAGGATTAGTGTTTTGCTCACGTAAATTGGATTATTTCTTCACTTTGTTTAGATAGCCAGCCGTATAACATCTAAACAAGATATGTTGTTGACCTATACCTCCCGATGGTGATTGGCATTGTTTGAGAACAATATAAATTAATTACATCTTGGACCCTTTGGGGTTCAAAACCCATAATTAATTAGTAGCCATAGTTACACCGTGGTATCGATACACCAACGACCTTGTCAAATCAATTAAACTAGAACAATTGAATACAGAAACTATACATGGGTCGGGCGTTCGAGACATACCCACATTAGCTTTTCTTTTTCATGTACAATACTATCTGTAGTTTCAACGAGTATTACACATTTATATAAAACGTTTTAACGGTTTAAAACGCGATATATTTTAGTTAAACTTGTTTGAAAATTATTTTTAACTCCGGCCCGACTTTTGAAAGCGTTGCAGCAGCCGTGGTCACGGGGAGACTTCGGGGAAGGGGGGAATGTCGGTCCGTAGTTAAAAATAATTTTTAAACAAGTTTAACTAAAATATGTATATCGCGTTTTAAACCGTTAACGTGTTTCATTTCAAGCGATGTTTTTAATAAACTATGTCGTAAATAAAAGGTACACTACAAAATCAGTAGCTGCAAACAATGCCCGGATTATCTTCAAGAAATCTGAGCAGCTAATATCCCCGATACATAAATGATAATATCACAGTCCCAACGTTCCGCGAACACCTTCCATTATTAAGCACATGCTCCTCTTATAATAGCTACATTCTATCCAACATTGTCCGCATACTGCGACCAACATAAATTGATCCGTCGAGAACGTACAAAGAATGCGCGGTGACGAACAGTCAGGGGTCAACTTAGTTTACGGCTAGATCGCGCGAACTTAGACTGGGCGTTCTTGTATTATAGCCTCGGACGTATTCGTTATCGTTCGGCTGATTACGCCCCGCCTAGATGCGCGTGCGCACAACGCTGTCTTTGTCGCGCGCGCGTGTTTTCGACAGTGTGTCGCCGTCTGGCATGGTACGCGCGCCACACCCACTGTTTGCGATCGGGTCATTTTCCAATTATGTTGGAGCTTTTTGCGGCCTCGAGATGCCCGCGATGATAAGCTTTCTATTTTAATAGCAAAATGAATGAGATGACGTATGACGTCCGCGCCTAAACTGTATTTGAAACACTCGTTTGAAACGTTAAAGGATTATATGGTGGTTTTGTTTGTATTTGTGTCTTATAACTAAGCTACAGTAATTAAATGCAAGTATTTTTTAATTTTGCCAAACAGTCCGCTGGTACTGTTTTAATGTAACTGCTGTGTAGATAATACATATTTATCGATTTTTTATTTTAATATTTACATTTTTTTTTGAAGTAACTTGAGTGGAATAATCCGCGCTAAAATGTATAGTTCCATACATTTTGTAGATAATAATTAAGGCGAAAGAAACTTAATGGAGTCCATGAATGTTAGAAAGTCAAAACAAAACGACAATTGATAAAAAACCAAACCCATCATGACCCCTTGGGTTATAAAAAGCGATGAGATATGTCGAGGGAGATTATAATTATGGAATAAGCGTTGGGACGTTAGCCGCCAACCGTCAGCGGTGAGTGCGCCCGCGCAGAGAATACGCGCTTGTGTTTTAGAGGTAATTGCAATATTTACGGGATAGAGCTTTAGTGATGCCCTATCGTTATTATTTGAAGCATATTTAAAGGAATATAATAAAAAGTAATAGGCAATCAGTTATTTATACAAACATGGTTATTTTTGGAAAACACATCCAGATACAGACACACTCGGGTGACTTTGCTATAATGAAAGCGTCAGTCAGTTAACACTATTAATGTACAGTCTGTTTGTACTTAAAGAACCTAATCGTATTATAAGTCTCTTCGTCATTTTATATATTAGGTACATTTATATAAACTTATGACCACATCTTACAAAGCCTAAAATAACACATTTGCTTCGCAGTAAATAACGGCCGATGCTCGTGAACGCCTACCGATTGCACCTGCCACGATAAACGAGCGCACCTAGTCATAATTTATCGAGCGGGCGCATCACTAGCCGAGAGCAAAGGTTCCACAGAGGGCGCAAGCATCAATTTGCGCGGTAGCCGCCGCGGGCACCGCCGCCCCTGTCATTAGCCCCTGCCCCCTGCCCCTGCCTGCCCTATCTCCCCCGACCCCCAGGGAACATACTTTAACCTTTTTTGCTTCCACACAACCTGTTCGCTGGCTGCTGTGGCTCCACAGACGCAATTTAAACGGTTCACGGCCGCGGGCGATACGCAGGACAAATTCATGGCCTGATATAGCAATGACTTACGTAAACTCGCTGCTCGCGACCGTAATAGACTGCATCCGCTGCTCATTTTCATTGATAGATGGTCTCTGGTAATAGGCTACAGAGCTTAAGCTACATCTGCTATTAGAACGAGTAAGGCTATAATTTGCTATCCTAGCTGTTTGAAGTAAGGTCGTAATTTTAAATATATATGTCTACCATTTATAATACTATTCCAATTTTAAAATATTTAAAATGAATACCAACACACCAAAGTAATTATGAATTGGAAAAACGTTAAACTTACGACGACGAAATGATCCGCCCTCAAACTGCCAATTTGTACCCCAATTAAATTTATTTTCTCCGGTATCATTCCATTGCGTCGGGAAAGAGCAGGGTCACTTCTGACCCCCGGGCACCAGCGTTAAAGTCCCGAACCGATTCTCCACTCCGTAACCCCCATTAAATTAAGTATGCCCCCAAACCACAGACTGAAGGATACCGGGGTCAGTCTGACCCTCGATTTACTTCAACACATGCCCTTTGGCTGTATTTTGTACGAAGGTTGCTTGATTTAATCCTTATTGTGAAGTTCTATTTCCATATCATTTACTAATTGAACTAGAAAATGTTAGGATTAGTTGAAATAGTTTTCAATAGTTGTATCTTTATTCCAACTATGTTGAGCGGTACATAGAGTCTGCGGGATTATTTCTAGCGGCGATTGCGCATAAATAAATTCACTAGATTCCCGCGTCTCTGTATCAACGTCGATCAAGAAACGAGCAAAACGAGCGCAGCAAATTGACCTGTCCTTCAGAACGACCGGCGGGCGCCGGCGACCTGTCGCTGCCGATAACTAATTCCGTTCCCATGGGCCGGGCACTCGGTAGCTCAACTCTATCTCGTTTTAATTATTCATAGGCCTTTTTTGTAAGCCATCGCTTTTTGCTGCGCGACGGCTGCCGGAGAAGCGAGTGCCTTTTCGTTTTTAAAAAGTAAAAATCGAACGACGCAATTAAAAAAGAACTCGGATGACACGGATCGAACTCCGGGCAAATGTCGCGCTGTAAAAAGTGGTCAAGCGTAAAGATGAGCCGGGGCGGAGGGGCGCGGGCGCGGGACGTCACGTAGGCGGCTCGCTTTTTGTCACCGTTCCCGCCGAGATGACAGGTTGAACCCGAGAGATTGAGAACGAATCGTCTTGATACTCGATTGTCGATTCGATTCACCCGTTTTGTCACACAAATACCAATTATTGTTTTACCGTGAAAATATCTTTCGATACGGTTCAAGTTTTCGACGAACGACGCTTAATTTTATGGTTATTAAAAGCGTGGAATATTGAAAACTGCTCTTCTCTAATAGTGAGGTTGGTATAAATACAAAAAACAATCTCTCTCAAAGTTAATAACTTTGATATATAATCGCAAACTTTTTTTTAAATTAACTTCAAAACATACAGTCGTTTTACATATTATAGTGCAATAAATAGAAATGTAAGCGATATGGACAAGATAAAAAATCTTGAAGATATTATTTTGTTTTTTTGGGGTCTGTTTACTAACAATCTCTTCAAACGTGTATCTACTTTTATTAACAAAAAGGATTAACTCTAGCGCATCGTAACACACGAACTTATAGAAAATAATACCATATTATAAGTATCAAAACTGCGCAAGCACAGTGTGCGTGACACGAACAGGTGCAAAGGCAACCGGGCGTACGTTAACTTTGCTTCCCACAAGAGATAACCCGTTGCTCAAATTTTACCATACTACTTCTTATAGACATATTTCTATAAAAACCTTGGCATTTTCATTACATGCGACAATGTAAACCTTTGTTTTATTTGTAGCTCGTTGGATTAATTCTTAAAACAACTATTGCATATAATATGTACATGTGTTGCAAACATACAAGAATATTTGAAGTTACCATTGGAAATCAAATTTACGAACAATTAATTTAACATCTTATGTAATATTATCATCTACTAACTAACCGACTAAAGTATTTTATTAACCTTATAATATTTGTGTAATACTGTGCTTTAATATTAGACAACAAAATGTGGAATTAGTTTGTTTGGAACCTTTATACGAAAGAGAGATCTAAATAATAAATATATGAATAAGCCCTCCCCACTACTACCTTACCAAACTTTCAAATTCCATATTAAAAATCTTGCAATAAAAAAGCTCAAAACATCTTCAAAGGTGCCGTTAAGCCATCTAACAGTTGTTTCGTTCTTTACAGAATTTCCGCGAACAAAGAATCGACGGTGCCGGCCTGCCGCTGCTAACTGAGGAACACTTAACTGGTATGCTGCAAATGAAGCTCGGTCCGGCGCTGAAACTTAGAGCTATCCTCGCGCGGAGGCTCGAGCTTTGCGCACAGTGCCAAGCCAACAATCTTCTCACCGCCCCCGTTACACCAAACACGCCCAAAATCAACGGAACAGTCAAAGGAGAACCCAGAAGCAATACCACCAGTCCCAGTTAGAAAATTGATAAGATGTACTTAACTATTGGTTTGCTGTAGGATGGTATGTGACGGGTACCAATCGATTATTCTGAAGAATCGATTAAATAATCGAAAGATTTATTTATTAATCAGCCTGATTCGTATAGCATTACTAATCTTTATTAACATAGAACTTGATTTACTTAATTCGAAAACCGATACTGTTCTATAATCGCATTGGCTGATATTAGGAATCGATTCCCTTTGCCTACAAAATCGATTTAAGAACGATTTAATTTCACATATCATCCTACTGCAAACTACATTGCATACTCTGTTCATTGTTTGGTGTAAGGAATAATAAGCACGTAATATCACTAATATTCTTTAGACTGCTCAATCAATAGAAGGACAAAAAAGACTTAAATGCGGTTGTTATATGAGTTGTATATAAATGACTGAATTGCTTGTATTATCTGTATTTTTAACAGTAAAACCTCCTTTGACAAAGTTTGCAACAGTGACATCTATGTTTTATGTACCTTTACAATCCTTAGTCAATCATTTCTTTAGTCTTCCTGTTTATAGATAATTGCATTTAGTTTCTACTTAAGTATAGATAAGCGTAATAAATGTAAATAATGTTAATTAATGTTGCCGTCCAAATATTATTTTTGCTGTATTCGGTAAGATTGTTTCAATGTTGCTAGCTATATTTTTACAAACGGAAGTTTACAAATGAAGGTTTTCTTCGAAAAATTATAACGTTCGGTGCTATCAGACCCTGTTAGGCGTAAATGTGTTTAGTTTTAGATTGTATATATTTATGGCCTTTGTAAAAACGGATTTTGAGGCTACGACTACTTAATAACACAGGGTTATTACATACTGTATATAATATACGATATAGTTATATCGATGTAATATACATCACTTTATATGTAACATTTATAAGACCACACCTGAGTAACGCTCATTATTTTCAAACCGTTTTAACGGTTGCATAATTATAACCTTTGTCTAACCGAATTTAAAACATGCGAAATAACATCTTCGAATGTAAAAGTTCTGTTTATATTCCGTTAGATGGGGTTATACGTAGTTATTAATATGAAATAAATCTATGCACAATATTTTCTCGACTTACCATTTTATGTAAATACGTACAACTTCGATAGATTTTAATTCAAAACAGTATATTTACCTGTGGTAATCTCCTTAATTGCCAAAATAGTTAATAACACCGCAGATTTCAGTATAGTTATAGCGTTTTTCAATTAGTTGTAACCGAGTTTTTTTTCATGATTAATTGTAAGGATGAACGCAAATGGTGCTAATAATAATAACTGTGCCTTCCAATCCAGGTCTTCCGAATAATAATCTAAATGAAAAAGACCGTATATAAATAATTCAACATAAACTTTATAGCTTGGCTTATACTTCAAGATCATCAACATTCGTTTTGGGCTAGAACTAAAACCTTTTATACGTTGGCAACTAAAAGCGATAGAAATAACAAGGCCAAATACGTGTTTTCAGTACACAGGGCAACTAACTTCCAATTGTCTTACAGCGGTCTCTATAAACCTATTTAGTATAACAGTTTTACACTTTAACCGGACAATAACAATGAATTACTTATAATCAACGAATTTGTAGATAATTTAGGCTTTTAACATATTAGAAATTAATATGGACAAGCTACTTATGTATATTTTAAATTGAAACAGATGAAAATATCAAAGGCAATTTATTACAGCAATGTATTTTTAAAATAGCATTCAATTCACTTAATAAATAGCAGGGCGCTGTTATTTTTAACGCAACTAAAAGCATTTTCACGTGCAGTGCTATTTGTTATTGCATTGAATTTAACATAAGAATCTTTCCAACATCGAACTTTACACTACTATGTTAGTTTGTATGTTCTAAGCAATTGAAATAAAAATATTACACATAATAAGACCTATTTTTTATTTGGAATCATAGCTGACTTTGTTTTTATTAATTATTACTACTAACATTTATGAATTGTATAACACTTCCGCGCCCATTTTCAAAATGGCCGCCAAACTGTACCGCCAAACATCATTCAGTAAGGTGATCAACACGAGTCTTCTCATTCATCACCATCATCAGATATTGGAGCTCCTAAACTGATGAAGATTATATTTCTAAATTTGATTAGGTTGACGTAATCGTAATAAGTTGCCTTTTATTTATATTGAAAAGAATAATTGTAAAAATCGTCATTGATTTTGTTTGAACGTTTTTGAAAGTTAATGTTTAATTAGTTATCAATTAGCTTACGTAGATCTTTATTGTGGACATCGGTCCATTTAAGTATTTATGTGACGGAAAAATAAAAGCAACGATTTTATTGAAACTTTTTCGTTTTATTTCATTTGTGACTATTTACAACGCTTAAATAACAGGAACTTACGTCGAGATATTCTTAGTGATTAGATATATCAATATAGTACAAAACTTCATTTATTAGCAGCTTGCAAATCCCGGGAAAACACTTTTTATTGTTTCAATCCAACAGTACACAATGAACAGTAAATGTTACCCTGCCAGTGTCGACATCAGTGAAACGAACACAGAATTGTGTCCGCCTGCCCTGTGAGTGAAATAGGCTTTTTCATAAAGAAGTGTGTAAGAATAATAAAAAAAAACAATCTACCTACTTAGGTATCACGCATGTCGATATAAATTATAATTCAAACTAATGTATGGTTCATCGTATCTGTAATGAAATTGAAGGCCAGACAGGGGGCACCGTAACGCGTCACGTAACGAAGCGGTTTTATATAAGAAGAAGTCAAATTGAAATATGTACACATATAAACTTAACAATTTAAATTAAGTACAAAATTTATTAAATAAATTACAATTTAACATTTACACTATAAATCAGTGTCTAAATAAAATACTTTTAACTGTTTAAAACGCGAAATTTAATTAAAACTTATTTACAACTTCAGTGACCTCCCGTGATCACGACTGCTGCAAAGCTATAACTTCGAGCCGTATTAAAAACAAATCGTTACTAAGTTAGCTAATACATTTCGCGTTTTAAACCGTTCAAAGTGTTTTATTTAAATGTGTATGTTCTACTCGCATAAACTACAGATGCCTTATTTTATCATGTCCAGTGCTGGAAGCTACTCTTGCTCAGTTTTGTTGACAAGTTCAAAAGTCCTCTCCTGGTGATGACGCTTCTTCACCTTGAACTCCATCACCTCGATAGTGGTGTAACCCGAGAAACCCACTAGAAGTAGTCCTAAGAGTATATGCAACCTGTAATACAATCCTTGTTACTAGAGACTGATATCTTTTGTATGAATTAAATTATTAAAAAAGATTTTTTAACGGGCTTGTTGGTTGGTAGCAAGTTTATGGCTAATGTTCAACGGGTCGTGGCAATTTTTCTGAAACATGTTAGACTTAGTCTGAAAATCTGGAAACCACAGGCCACAGATGGATGGATGGAATCCAAAGCTAACATAGGTCGACAACGCACTTTTTTTAGATGCTATAGACTGGGGTATTCCACCGACCATAAAAACCGGCATCGTCAGCGTTCCAAGCATAGCAACAGCACGGAATGCTGACGATGCCGATTCAAGTCCTGCCCGAGTAAAAAATTTTTCAATTTATTTTCGATTTTGAAATTATATGTAACGTCATTAAAAGGTTCTTAATTTCAAATTGCAAGTTTTCAAATAAGAAGATAGTTAAAAAAATGCGCCTTGTATTTTAATTTAGGCAATATTTATATTTCGTGCATTTGCTATGATAAACGTAGGAGTAAATTATTAAATGAAGATTTAGTATTTTTTGTTAAATATTATTATTACCTAGTTCTTACGCAGAGGTATGGGGCTGATGCATATGACAGAACACTCCCGGTTGCCTCCCAAAGCCTGAAGTTCGAATATGCTGCCTCCTCATTACCAGGGAAAAGGATTCCGGATAGGGCTTGAAAAAATATTGTGAAAATAAAAAATGTTTATTTTTATAAATACAAACTAAGTAGGATTAACATTTTGGAAAGAAGTCTAACGGAGGAATTAAGTGAGTTTATTTATACACACGCAACACTCGAATCCGGAGCAGTGTATGCAAAAGGCTGACATTATCAAATGATTATATGATAGGTAGCCGGAATTAACCAACTTTCTTAAATGGACACACAAAAGTGACTACCCCAAGAAATCTCTCCCCAACAGGATATAGGACTTACTAGTTGTGTCAGCGACCCGCGTAGAATAGTTATTTTAGGCATAAACATTTGTTTTTGCACACCACCTATATTAGGCAATTTATATTTTTTAGATCATTTAAAGAGAAATTCTTTTATAGATATTTCGTGGGTATTTTGAATCGTTTTTGTAGCGTACGCATTCGGAAACCCACAACTTAGCATTTCCCCCGGGTTTTTCCACATTTTCCGCTATTTAAGCGGTCCTGTTGGTCAAAGCGTGATGTTTTTATAGCCTTCCTCGATAAATGGTCTAATCAATAAAAAAACATTTTTCAATTTGAACTAGTACTTCCTGAGATTAGCGCGTTCTAACAAACAAACAAACAAACTCTTCAGCATTATCTACTCGTATTAGTATAGATTTGTAGTTAGACATTACCATTGACCTGAACCAGCCAGACCGCATCAGCTGTACCCCAAATAGCCGCAAGGAAGTAAAACATAAGCCATTGGTGAGGATCTGGTCTCCACAGCAGCAGTGCAGTTAGTAGACACAGATTTAAAAACTGCAACAAACATACTCACATAATTATTGTGATTTGTAATTATTTGAAAGTTTACGGGTCCATTAGGAAGAAATAAATATCTAATACATGTTACTAATCAATTTTAGTTACGTCTGCAAATATGAATAATAAATGCGTGGTAGGAATATCTATAACATAATGTGTGTGTGTGTGTGTAAAACTTAACATAAAATCCAAGATGGTCTGGCTAATTCGTATTGAAATCCCGTTTCCCCCTGTGGGGCGACCATATCGCTGTATCTTTTCAATGGTTTCCTTTAGTGGCAAGAAGTTCAACCAATATACATATTTCAAAAATTACGATGGCATACCAGTGCAGTCAGCATGACTGGGTATCTGCCAGTGAGCTTCACCACAGCTCCAGCCACAGGCGCCGCAAGAGCGTTGAACACGCCGAAACAGATCATCACGAAGCCGATGTTTGGGATGCCGTACGCGCAGCCGACGAACGCCTAAAGATAATACAATGTTTTTATATCGTAATTATTGATATTCATTTTTTTTAGTATGTAAGAAAGAAATTTTTACGCAATTGTTTGCTGATTGTTCTGTCCTGCCCTATCATTAAAAAAATGTATGTAATCTTATTTTTTATACCTATAGCTCAATATATAAATAAATAATGTAAAAAATTAATCACTTGATCTGAAAATATTATTACGAGATTTTCTGAATTTTGAATAATTTTGTTTCAGACGAAATACGGAATTAATGGTAAACATTTGAATTTGCTATCTTATACACATTCATTTTATTTATTTATTATTATATGTCTTCCAGGCAACTTGAGGGGAAGGAAAAAACAAAAAGAGGACTATGGGTAGGACTAAGGGCGTACGAATTAAATTTGATTGTGTGATTAAAATCATTAGCGGGCATCGAACCAACGACTTCAGCGTTCCGTGCTGTTACTATACCTATAGTTACTGTGAAAAATGAATAGTATATATTATGTTACACGTAATTTCACAATAGACATGAATGCTTTTGTCTAGTGAAAGGTAGTTCCGATTCGCAAAACCGAGCGACCTTCGACCAAAATAGTATCTCACAGGAAGCTGCTTGCACGAATCAAACATGTGCATTTCCGACAATTTACAATTAGACTTGACTTATTGTCTACTTCCTCACCTCAGGGTAATCAATAACAATTAATTATAATAAAAGTTAGTTCCGGCTTCTTATGTGAAATATTGCACATTTTTATTACTACAGTTGGTAAATTATTAACGTTAACGTAGCCTTCCTTTGCCTGGAAGAGATCGCTGTTTAGAAATAAGGTCGCCTTTTATTTATAAGGTAGTTCATAAGTTTTTATATTTACAAAACAAATCCTGTGGTGTTTATAATTAATAAGTTTAAGAAAATAAATAAACGTAATCAACGGATTGCAGGCTCTAACCCTACGTCGTATACATGTTTCTTGTCAATGTATATATATGTATATTCTGAAGCACTGTTCTCAGGAAATCTGGATATTAAATGAGTAGTAGGACTATCGAAATTCCGCCTCGATCCTTGTCCACAGATGAAAATCCCGTAAAATTCAATTTTCTTTCGCTTTCAGTCTGTTAATTTACGAATATACATAACCAAAAAAAGATCGACAGGGCATTATTATTAGATGTTATATGGCTGGACATTTCGCCTTTCATCAAATGAAACTCGTGCGTGTGTCCGCCTTTATGATAAAAAATACTCGTTGTACCTGAAGTCACGCTGATTGTAAGCCATAAATCGCTACGAGTCAAAATATGCGAGAGGAGAGGTAAGTATCCCAACGGTGGGATTAAAAGTGGATTTGCAACATACATTATCTGTAATCAAAGTGTTCACTTTACCTGTGTGAAGTCAGCAGCCATGAACGCCTGTTCCGCCCCAATGTACCCAATAACAGGCAGCAGCAGCAGCTGGTATTTGTGCCGCAGTTGCCGCAGTGTTACAGCTAGTAACTGTAAGCCAGATTTGCCCTGTGCTGTTGGCTGGCGTCCAGAGTTGTATCTGTAAGATTTTATTATGCTTGTGTGGACTTCTATCAACATAGAGAGACACAATTTTGTGCCCTATTCACTGTTTGATCACTATATGTGATCGGCTGTGTCCCTTTCCAATAAAAACTTTTATCTAACACTGATAGCTGTGCCCGCGACTTTGTCGGCGTGGAATAGTTAATTATCTTTATTAACCTCCACGACCCATCATTCTTGTGAGATAATCTTAAAAAATAGACATATAGCATTACGGACGTATTTTTAGATAATTTAAAGAGAACTAATTCAGAGCGCACGCAACAGGATCCCTGAAAATTTAATAAATATTTTGGCTGATATTGGTCGTTCCCTAACCTTCTTCGGTAAATGGTATATCCAACACAAAAATGTTTTTTACAAACTATAGGAACCAGCCATTTTTCACCATTTTTACATTTACCATTGTTTGTATCAAAATGAAATTAATACAAAATGTATCGTCTTTTTAACTAACATAGTGAAAATAGATTTAATTTAATACCTGCTCAATGAGTCAACTCCAAAAGCTACTAGAATGCTGGCGAAGATCATACAAGCCAGATATACGCCGGAAATCACCTGGATTTTTAAAGCAGAAGGTGGTACCAGGTTTGAGTTATCCTGTAAATGTAAAATTCAGACTTTAGTGTAGTTAAACTTTACTCTGTTACCACCTATAGAATTTTATTAAAGTCTGTCGAGCTGTTTGGACTGCAAAATATATAAAAGTTTTGAAATTTAGAAAACTTACTTGTTCGTCGTTTCCGCTGCAAAAGTTAACACCGCAAGTGCCTCCATAGTCAGGGGTTGGTAACGTGTAATTGCCAAACATTAGCGCCTCAGGTGCCCATGTTTCATTGACAAACGGCGTTACCTCCCCGAGATTCGAAGATAGGACTGCGAAGTAACTTGTACGTGAGCATATATTTTTTTTAAAAACACCTTTGACGGTTTAAAACGTGAAATATATTAGTTCACTTATTTTTTTACTAAATTTACCAACGGCTCGACGTTTCGGATGCTTAAGTAATATATTGCACGTTTTAAACCGTTAAAGTGTTTTATTTAATGTAATGGCGATTAAAAAAAACTTTTCCACAACTCTTACGATGCGAAAACTTTCAATTTTTTACATGATGGCATTTTATAGGTTTAAAAATCTATTTAGATTGAAGAAGAAGAATAAGGAATTCGTGGAATGGTAGCTCAATTGGTTACAGCAGTGGCACGGAACGCTGTGGATGCCGGTTTGAAGCCCGACCGTAAGTATTTACAATCTTAATTTAACCTTTCACTATTAATATCTATTAATACAAATAAACAAGTTTTTTTTGCATCCAGTAGTCTCGTGCAAAGTAGATATAAACATTACATTTTTGCGCGTAACAATTCAAATCAAGCATGCCAAATTCAAGGTTCAACATTCACTTCGGCATACGGAAGGAGTTAATAGGCCAATAACCCGTTTGCGAGTTCGACAATGGTTTTTCTGTAAATTCAAATATAGTTCACCTAAGTATGGCGTTGTTAGCACCCAATCTACTAACTATTATAGTATACTCTTCGCCTGACTCAAACTTTTGTCTCTACGAGATTCGAACCCAGATCTCCCCTAGCAACGCCCTTTACTATTGTTTTGAGCGAAATATATAACATTGCGTAACTGATATTGTTAAGTGATAATAGATTAACTGGGAATCGTTCATAATGCCCAAGTGCGATGGGCAAAGTGATTAATTTATCATTTTGACCAGAAATATAAGAGACACGATATGTTAAATCAACTAAATACTGTCTATAGTTTACGCGAGTAGTACACATTTTAAATAAAACACTTTAACGGTTTAAAACGCGATATATTAGTTAAACTTATTTGGAAATTATTTTTAACTTCGGCCCGACGTCTCCCCGTGACCACGGCTGCTGCAAAGCGTCCGAAACGTCGGGCCGAAGTTAAAAATCATTTCCAAATAAGTTTAACTAATATATCGCGTTTTAAACCGTTAAAGTGTTTTATTTAACTGATTAAATTCTTTGTTTTTTACCGTTTTTTAATTCGAACCCAAAGTTCTTCATGTTTCAATAGGAGCAAAGGAATAAAAACACTTTAAATTGCTTCTTAATAGCAACATTTCCGACCCAAATATTTACAATTTAATAAAAATATGTGGAAACATTGGAATTTCCTATTACCAAATACTTAGCATACTTCTAATTGTTTATAATAACTAATTAGTGAGTTTTAATTAATATTTCAACTGCTTTATTATGATTGATGTAAGGTTTTAGGCAAATACGACGCAACTATTAAATAAATGGTTAGCATTAATTTAAATGAAAGACTTCAACTGTTTAAAATGCGGTAAATACTAGTTAAACTTACTAAAAAAATATTGTAACTACCGACGTAAGATTAACGAATATATGTCACGTTTTAAACCGGTAAAGTGTTCTCTTTAAATGCGTAAACTACAGACAGTATTCGATTAACATTTATTTCATTTAAACGCTGAAATTTATTACATAAATTTTAGTATAACATTAACAGCATTATAATAAATGTTTTTATTTGTGGCAGACATATTTTAAGTTCGTTTTGCTGATAAGAAGTTCATTTTTAGGCATAGGAATTATTTTAACTCAATGCACACTTCTTATACACCTCGGTTTGTAATTAAAAAAAAAAACACTTTTACAAGGATTTCAGCTCGTCACTCGTGATGTCGTATTGTAGTTAAAATAAATCAAAAATAACTAATATATTTCGCATTTCAAACCGTTTAAAGTGCTTTAAACATTCACAACTCACGAAGGTAGTGTTATCAAAGTGATACATTTTATTAAGCTAGTATATTTATTGACGATTGACATACATTAATATATACTTACTCGCAGAAGATATCAGGTTTCCCCAGATCTGCGCCATTTGATAGAACATGAAGAATAATCCGAAGAATCTCACCACGAGGACCTCCGCTGATACACCGGACAGTTTGGCGTAGGGCTCTGCCACCTAAGATAATTCAGAAGGCTCATGTTATAAAGTATTAACAGATCTATAAATCTAAAAAAAACGCTATAACGTTTTAAAACGCGATGTATTTTAGTTAAACTTGTTTAAAAATTATTTTTAACTACGGCCGGACGTTTTGGATGCCTTGCAGGAATCGTGGTCACGGGGAGACTGCTCGGGAGACAGACCACGGCCGTTAAAGTGTTTTATTTAAATGTGTACTATTCGCGTAAACTAAACACAGATATAAAACATAAAGACACAAGCGTCAGTAGAGTAGCTATTATTAGAGCAACAGTATGTTACAGTTCTTGGTCGTGGATTCGATTTCCGCGTGTGTATTTTACTCTAAAACGTTTTATTACAAAGTTTTATTTATATACAATATTGTACTTTTTAAAAAGCTATTTTAATAGAGAAACCTATATTGTCTATCTATGCATCAATATGTGAAATTTAAAACTTCGATTGGTTAAAAAAAATCTTAAAGTAATATGTAATAAATTAAACATGATAAGAGATGTGCAGAATTTAAAATCACCAGGACAGATAGCCGGAACTTAGTTTAGCGTACTTAATAAAACGGTCGCGAGTGATATTAGATATTTTTTGCAATTCAATGATTCCTATGCAAAGACTAGCAAAATCAATCGACAACATTCCTACATTCCTCAAGCATCCAATAATGAATAATCCTTTAAACGAACAATTTTCATTTCAAATAATATTGCAACATTCGTGTATATAATACGTTAAAAATATATTCGACAATTAGCTAAAAACGACTATGTGTACTGTCTGTAGTTTACGCGAGTAGTACAGATTTAAATAGAACACTTTAACGGTTTAAAACGCGATATATTTTAGTTAAATTTATTTTAACTACGGTCCGACGTTTCGAATGTATTTCATAAGAGACAATATATAAATAAATTGGTAACGATAACTAATATATTTCGCGTTTAAAACAGTTTTATTTTATAAGGCTATGTATGTCTCTTTGCTTGGACGCTGTCTTTCTAGTTTTATAATACCTACTATGTTTTAACATAATCTAAAGAAACAGTTCGTTACTTCATCAATCATGTTTTTTGATATTAGCCAACTCTGCCTCTAGCAGCCTCATACGCACGTTGCCCTACTCGAATATTTACCCCTTCTGACATTCATATCACGAGATATGTCATGGACGACCGAATACAATGTGTCGATTAATATTTCATTTTCCGTTGCGTTATTGCATTATTCTCTTGAGGCAAATCAGTATTTATTAATACTCAAATATTTGATTAAATAATAACATAACAATGTTATTATCTACGGTTTAAAATGCCAGATGTTGACATTACAAATTATTGGCCAGGTGTTAGTGTTTCATTCAAATATGTACTACACGCGTAAAGTACCTACATACAGTATTTTACAAGAATCTTAGTAAAACAAATTTTAAACCATCAAAAATTATTTTATACGTACTTACGTAAACAATAGATACAACATATCATAATTATAAGTTACATACTAAAATTAAGCATTACCGCATTTACTTTCAACTCATTAAGTCGAAAGTTCGATTCTTGTTAAAAACGCCTTCATGCGATATTTCTGATTAGATCTAGCCAAATTTTACTATTATATTGATACTACTCACCACTGATAAGTAAGTACACTTAGCACACCACAGAGGTCCGCCGCCGAAACCCACCATCATGCCAGCTGGTACCAAGGTGTGAAGATGAGGGTAGAATTGCGCTATGATGAACGGCATATAAGCTATGAACGAGACAGCTACTGTCCATTTGCAGCCCAGCCATCTGATAAAGATGCAATTATTAAAGCAATTAAAATGTGTTACACATTCCTGGTCTATCGTCAGTAATGTATCGTGGGTTCGAGTCATTCAGTCAATCATTGTAAATTTATTTTGTTAATTAAAAATAGGTCGATAACGCACAAGCAAGGTCGACGCGATACGCTGTCGTCCTATTTCTCGAGAACGGCTGATAATGTAGCTCAATTAGTTAGAAGAACGTAAGATTAGGTACGAACCCGTGTCGTATTTTTTTAGGTCTAAAAAGGTTTTAAACTTCTGTTTTAGTTAAAAAATAAAATTAATATTAAAACAATAAAATCACGGTCATTGCCAATGTATGACTTGTTTTATCTCTAGCAGTGATCGATTATATTTAATTCATGTATTGTATTACAAGCTACAAGTACTTTTAACTGTAATAAATGTAACACAGATCAACTACCTTATAATATTGACTTCTGATTAGTTTTACATAAAACACTTTTAACGGTTTTGAACTCGAAATATAAATGTATTACTATTTTTTAATTTAAGTTAACTACGGTATTATTTCGAATGCATTGCATCTGATGAAGATGAAGGGTGTGCATAATGTCAATGTCAAACACTAACGCCATCTGTTACGACGCAATTGGTATTTAGGAGAAACAATTGATTATTTACTGCCTGTAGTTTAAAACGCGAAATATACTAAACTTATTTGAAAAAGTATATTTCGGGTTTAAAACGGTTAAATTGTGTTATTTAAATTGATTTCTTACTTAATGACCATAGCCGGCAGAAAGACATTGGATAGGATTAGGGAGAAGTATATAGCAGCGAGGGTGAAGGTGCCTGCTGCTGCGTCAGTGTTCACGGAGCTCTGCAAGTTGGCTGCTCCGTGGAATGCCGTGAACTGCACCATGAACGCAAAGCCAAGCACGAAGATGTTGCGGTTGATACGCCATTTTTCGTTCGTGCCAAATGTCACTGGTGAAGACATTGTTCTGGTGGAACGAACATGTTAGTTATGTAAAATATTTAATATACTAGCTGATCCAGCAAACGTTGTTATGTCGTTTGCAAGATAAATATTATTATGTTGATACAACTATAAGAAATGATTGGTGATAATGCATTAATTTCCACTGAATTTGAGTGCAATAAAAATGTTTTTTACGAGTTCATCTTAAATATAGACATTTACTATCGGGGATACTTTAAGACCATTTAGAGAGGAATCAGTCTTTCGTACATATTGTTTAGTTTACACCGCGAACTATAACAACCTAACGACGTTTCGGATGTGTTGCAACAGCCGTGGTTAAGGTCCGTCCCAATCGTATCGTTGTAAAAATAAATTAACCAATATGTTCATGACCGTCTCTGTAGCCAAATGGTTAAACGTATTGCCTAGCATTGCGTAGAGCGCGAGAGGTCCTGGGTTCGAATCCCAGGGAAACAAAAAACATGTTTCAGTCGGGCAGGGCACAGAAGCCTGATCAACTACTTGCCCGTTTAAAGAACGGATCAATGAAACGGACAGAGAAATGTGTTATCGCATTTCAAACCATCAAAAGATATATATGCTTATATACAATTTTAATCATTTATAATATAATGCATCATTTCATTCAGTAGCTTTCCATCGCTTAGTTTCAGGAACAAACAATTTAACATTATAACTTTAAAATAATTTTGAACTACTCGTCGCAACTATGTTGTTAAGACTTCAATTGATTGATCATAACATACTATGTTGGAAGATAATAACGTTTATTAACATAAGTGACGTCACCACCGTGCTCTAGAGTAATTGTAACTAAGTAAGTAATTGACTCACTTATGACCTTCACCAGGATATCCAAGGTCAAAGTATATATGTGACCACGAATGACTAGGAAGTGTTCCAAAAGTTTCTACTAACATGCTCAAACCTCTATTTTTTAAGTAATATAATATGTGTGAAAACCCATCAGGCGAACACATTTTTATGTCCGTTTCACTCGACATTCATTGCAGGCAAGTAGTTGACTTGTTTCAGACTTCTGTGAACTGTCTCATCGAAATTATAGTACCCCGGAAGGTGTTAAGTAAAAGTTTAAATTCAGACCTCTTCACGAATGCTAGGCAACGCGGTCCAATCTATAATAATATATAAAGCTGAAGAGTTTATTTGTTTGTATGTTTGACCGCGCTAATCTCAAAAACTACTGATTCTAATTTAAAAAACATTTTTTGTGTTGGTTAGAGCTGTTTGCGCGGTGCCTAATAGGAGTAAAGAAACAGCGGGACATGTGGAAAATTATGAATATTATAATATAATTATGGGAAATTATATCGATACGTACGCTACAAAAACGGATCAAGATACCCAAAAAATATATATGAACGATCGATGCCTCTTTAAATGATTTTAAAATATGTTCGCGACACTATATGTCTTTTTTAGGATTAAATTGCAAGAACGACGGGACGGAGGAAACGGTTTGTATTAATAAAGACGAAGAGGAAGTTTACAAAAACAAATTTTGAGTGCCCAAAATATCTATTCTACGCGGAAGCAGTCGCTGACACAGCTAGTTTGTTAATAATTTCGTAATAAATATCTTATTTATCATTTTACTATTTATCAATTTTACCCGGTAAACATTGTTCTTCGGATGACCTTAGTTATGTTTTATACCGAAATATCTCAAACATTTGACTGTTGACATATGACCTACATTTGACGATAAGTATATTTTTATACGCTTGGATTAAGATCAACGTAGCTTTGCTTTGAAATGAGCAAATAGTAAGACGGAATTTTGAGACATAGCGAAGACAAGGGAGATCCGTATCTCTATACACGATTTTTATTACATACAACCTTAAACAACCGTGTTTTTTTACAACAATCATAGGGCGTGTTGTTATTTTTACGCGAGGCAACTTAATACTGCTAGTATTCCATACGACACGTACACATTTGAATAACGGTTAAATTTGAACAGTTTCAACAGTTTAAAACGCGAAATGTATTAATTAAACTTATTAGGTTTGTTTCGGATGCTTTACAACAGCTATGGTTACGGTGAGAAAGTTTAACTATTACATTTCACGTTTTAAACCGTAAAAAGTGCTTTATTTAAAAGGCAACTAAAGTTACTTTTTACCTAAAACCATCTTCTATATATAATTTTAATTCAATTATTTCAAATATACAATGATATGTATCTAAATGCACTGTTTAAAAGATAATAACTTGTAATAATTGATACAAATTGTTTGTTTTGTTATTCTCGTAGACAGCGTAGAAAAACATTCTGCGGTTAAAACAGGATGGATAACTTTGTAATAAAATTAAAAAGAAAAATAAAATATGTCACAGACTAGCTACTTGGGAAATCCTACACTTGTAAGGATTAAAACGAGAGAAATACATTGATCTGCAACTATCTTGCAATTTTTATTGCAAAAAATATTTTTCAATATGCTAGTTTATTCTAATGTACGTTGTAAATTTATCAATATGCGAGTATATTATGATTTACGTTGTACGCTTGAGTTAAATAAGAAAAAAAATATATTTTTATAAGTTTTAGGAAGGTACAGATTAGACAAGTAATATTAATTCAACACGAAATATTATCTTCTATAATACAGAGCCTAATTTGCCGTCCCTTACAGTGTTGTTTGCCATCACGATATATCCCAGACATCCGGTTTCCAGTCGTGGGACACTGAGATTTCCAGGTCCTCCACGTTTTAGCATGAATTCAAATAAAACAATATAAACGGTTTAGAATACGAAATACAGTATTTAACTTATTTACAATGAAGATAGCTGCTGCAAAACACCCGTAACGTCAGGCTTTGAAATGAAATGTAAACTAATATTTCTCATTTTAAACCAATAAAATGTTAAGTATGTACAGCGTACGCAATAGTTGCTCAAAGGATTAAAATAAGACGTAAAATTTTGGCCGGACAGATTTTTACGTATATTTTTGAAAACAGCCACAAAAAATAAGAATAATTTTTTTAATGAAATAATTATGTTCCGTTTCATATTACACATACAAGCACATGTAGAATTACCAGGTTATTTATAGAAAGGGTTCAAGAATCCAGTAACTGGGGAAAACCCGCGTCCTACATCTCTTCGATGCACAGCCCGGAAATCTTGCCTGTACGAGTACTTAAAATGGATCAGAGACAGCACTTCTCTCTTTAGAAAAGTATAATTATATTGTAAAACAAATAATATGAATCGAGCTTAAAGCTCTTGCGAACTGTTGAGTGACTCTTGAGAAGGCGAAAGACGTGAAAAACAACTATACTAATCTACAAAGCTGATCTGTTTGTTTGTACGCGCTTATCTCGGAAACTACAAGTTCGAATTAAACAATGTTTTTGTGTTATATGGAGCATTTATAGAAGAAGGCTTTAGGATATAAAATATGAGGTTGCTATAAATAGAAGGAACTGTGGAGAAAACCGTGAAAAATATTCATCTTTGAGCCTTTCTGTGGCCTGCGTTGCACAAATGGTTCAAGCTATCGAAAAATATTTATAAAGGAGTTATTCCTTTTTAATACAATTAAAAAATGTCTTGAACAACAACATATGTCTATCTTTTAAATAAAACACTTTAACGGTTTAAAACGCGGTTTATATTAGTAAAACTTATCTGACCCATGACCACGACAGCTGCAAAGCTTCCGAAACGTCGGGCCGTAGTTAAAATAATTGTCAAAAAAGTTATAAAAATCGCGTTTTAAACCGCTAGTCTTTTATTTAAATGTGTACTACTCGCCTAAACTACAGATATGTCTACATATTAAAATTATAATAGTAATCAAATCATGTCGAAATATCTATCTTGTCAGCTAGTATACAACCTCTTTGGTCTAAGGGCCACCGAGATTTTTTGCCGCCATTAAATCACTAATCAATATATTACAAGCGGATGTTGAATTAATTTGTCACGATCATATATTAACACGATTTATAAATTCCATATGATTGATATGTTATATGACTTTGAAATAATGATTAAAATGATATTTAACATTGAACGGGCGTAATGATACATTTTTATGACATAGGAGGACAGGCGAGTATCGCGTTCATTTGACGGAAGGTCCAATGGCTGGCGACCCATTAGGCCCTCGAAAATAGCTCTTCTATTCGTGGACGGTGTTTCGAACATTACATTTGTTTTATGTCTAGCTATCCAGACAGACTCTTAGATATATTAGAAGAAGTTTATAAACATGCCGAACCTACGACGTCTCGGTTATAAGCCATCTAATAACAAAAAAAAATAACACACTCCTATAGGATTAAAAAAGACAGAGGGAAATGGGAAAAATTAATTATCATTCTAGGTTTCCGAAGCGAACGCTAGAAAAAGTTTCTTATACCCAAAAATAGCGTCGTAGGTAACAGCTTAAAAGATTAGGAGAAGGTTTGTAAAAACAAATTTAGATGCCCAAACATAGCTAGTACACACTGGGAAATAGTAATTGTTCTTTGTTACATACCTAGTTCTTTGAAAGTCCTACTAAATTATGACCTTAGTATTGACCTAGCCAAGTGGCATTGGTCATACAATAAATCTGTTCAACACTCACTTAACATAGTAACACCCATATGTTATGCCTGATAAGATTTAGATAACGATAGTATGAGTCCCGAAGGTAAATTGTTGAAGTTACACGACCGGTCGCCAGTTCGATTCTTGGTTCTGCCAAAAATGCTAGTCAACTAGGATTCATTGATAAATTGATAAGCTCGTTAATTATATGGTAGGTCTCTAATCTACGGGTCATGGATTTGATTTTTCGATTCAACCGTTCGGTGTCCACTGCTGGACATAGGCCTCCCCCATTGACTTTCAGCAAGACCGGTCGTTCGTTAGTTCAATCCAGCGTTTCCCTGCTACCTTGACCGGGTCGTTGGTCCACCGGGTAAAGTCGTCCAGGTTTTCGACGTCCGGTACGTGGAATTCACCCCAGAACACTTTTGCCCCATTTTTGGATTTGATTATTACATTCTATTTAAAATTATTTAGTTTTTAGTAGTTAGTAATTTCGATTTTTGGCCTTTCCAAACATGTTAGGCGCTATTTTCTGTAAAATCTACGACACTAAATAGGTAGGATCATCGATAAGAAAATTCCATCAGCGTCATGATTTGCCGTCAGCCGTTGGAAAAGCCAAGTTTTTCATGGGTTTTCCATGTTACAATTCCAGTTAGTTTGATATTGGAATGTTCAAATCTAATAAAGGAACAGCCTATTTATGACTTGTCTTTAGAGACAAGTCATAAATAGGCTCCCGTTTCACTCTTGGAACCCTAAACAGATATGTTTGGACATAAAACAAACTTTCTTTCACTATCGCTTTAAATTTGTTTATAATGACATAAATACTTTTAACGGTTTTCTTATAAGCACTAATGTGAAACGTAAAAATTATTAAGACCGATAAATTACAGTACTGTTTTACGATTTCTAAAGTTGCGATAATGTAAAGATATCATTTGCGATAATGAGAGAAAGCTTGGGAGATATAAGTTTTTATATTTATTTCGAATTAGCTTTAAAAGAGGCATTTGTAATATTAAATTAATCGAAAAAATAATTATCATAATTCCGTGCTTTGTCTCAAAGCTTTGACAAGTTATGGTACTAAATTATAAATTAAATAAGCACAATTTTGATCGATATAAAATTTTTAAAGTAAAACTAAAAAATATATATTGTGTTACACAGTAAAAAACAAGAATATTGTTTATTGTTCTTCAATCGTAGTTTGGTTTTTTTTTTCTATTTTAATTCATAATTTATTATTAAATAATTTATTTCAATAAGTTTAAACTTGGTTCACCAAAAAATAAAAACAAAATAAACACAACATGTGATAAAAGATCGTACCTGTTTTTTTTTTAATATGAAAACTTTTAACACAAAATCACTTTGTCCATTATAGTAAGGCACTGGATTTTAAGCGCACATGTACGGTTCCATTAGCTTATAGGACCCTAACTAAACGTTCGCTAAATCGAAACGGACCCGTAAACCACGGTGCGTTTCCATTGTACCACTTTCAATCTTAGCTTTGAGATAACCGGCCAAGCGTGATCTTACCCGTTAACTCAACTTAACACTGACATTGTTAAATACTGTCCGTAGTTTACACAAGTAATACACAAGAGAAACGTCTTTTAACAGTTGTACGGTTTAAAACGCGAAGTGTTACACTTATTTACAAATCACTTTTACATTTATTAATTTGTCTGCCCGTGACCACGGTTACTGCAAAACATCGGAAACGTCGGGCCGTAGTTAAAATAATTTGCAAATAAGTTTAACACTTCGCTTTCTAATCTGTTAAAAATGTTTTATTTAAAGTGAGATCTTATTTTTATCAAAGTAGAAAATACTGTTAGGGTGTACTTTTTGAAATTATGAGCGAAAGTAAAATGGTTTAATAGAAATTCCTATTTAACATAGCCCTTTGAGAATAAAACATATACCTAAACATACCTGTTATATAATTAACGAGGAACTATGTAAGTTGTCCTGGATCAACTCCTATATTCTCCTATATACAACAAAAATAATTTTAATACCTGTCTGTCCTCCTCTATGATAAAAAAAAACTGATCCGATGGGAAGCGAACCCACGACCCGTTGATTATTACTACAATTCTACTATTGGACCAAAATGTCGTTAAAAAATATTTCAGTATGTTAATTTTAAATACCGTCAGTAGTGTACGCGAGTAGTACACATTTCAATAAAACACTTTAACGTTTTAAAACGATGTATGTTAGTTAAACTTACTTTAACTACGGCCTGACGTTTCGGATGCATTACAGCAGCCATGGTCACGGGGAGTCTAAAAATGGATGGTGTCTCTGACGTCAAAGTAGAAAAGGTCATTTTACAACAACATTTACGGTTCAAGTCCTGCCCGAGTAGAAAATTTTTTCAATTTATTTTCGATTTTTAAATTATAAAGGTCATTTTAGTTATACAAGTTCGGGTCCCGTGTCAATAATTTTTTGCACTCTGAAATAGGTTGACCTCGTCTTAAAAAACCGTGCAGTCGAATGGAAACGCGCTCGATTTGACCAAGTGGCTATGATTATGCGACAATAATAATGTTATATTATTACACTAGTCATTTTTGTAATTTATAATGCGTTTGACACTGATAACTTAACTACATTGAATGTATTATTATTTTATAGTCAATTGTCTAGTATCGAAGGACGAACGAATAATACGAAGTCAAGATCTCGGGTTCAAGCTCTCTGTTTGTGTTTGATCCTAATCTTAATAAGATTAATGAGGCCACTAGAGGCATAGTAGCCTAACTGCAATTTCATGACTTGACTTATCTATATTTTTATAGTCTAAAAATGTTAATCTACAAGAGCACAGTGTTCGAAAATCAGTACAAATTCATTTTCGCCTAACTTAATTGCGTATTTTTTATTTTTAGTTGTCATTAGGCCTCTAGCAGCCTCATGTATGTTTGCTATAATAGCAAAAATATAGTATATCTGCATGTATGTTCCAGACAACTTCTGTAACTTAAAAACACGTACAAAATGAAAAACTTAGGTCTGTAAACAATATTTTATTTTAATTATAACTATTACTTCTATGTAACATTTATTATCACAGACATTTTGCCTTCGAAATACACATTTAATAAATAGTAAATCATTTTTACGTTTCCTGAAGCAAAGAGAACTCTCATGGAAAATAAACATTTAAAGAGTCGAGTACAAAAACAATAATATTACAACAAGTTATAAATAATTTAATTGCGCACTAAATCTAAAAATAAACTCTTACCGGAAATTGATACGTTGGTGGCAAAGCCTCTGCACAATTCTTTTTTTCAAAGAAATATTTTTTATTAACGACAGACATGGAAGGGTTTACTTGATGTTAGGTGATATACTCTAGCCTATAGCATCTAAACAAGATGCTATAGGCTAGAAAGCTGTTGACCTATTTTGGCTTTGGATATTCGGAAATCCACAAACTGACATCGAAACACGATTAAGCTGCACGGCTTTTTCATCTGTAGACGGTGGTTCGTGACCCGGACGGAATTTCTATATTCCAACCACTCACTTAATATCCAGATTTCCAGACGAAGTCCAGCATGTTTCAGAAAAGTTATAAATAGAAAAATTATAAATAGGAAAATTATAAATATGTTGGACTTGACGGCGATCGAACTTGCGACCCGTTGATCATTAGCCATACATTGCTACCATTAGACCAGCAAGTTCGCCAAAACGACATCTATTCTTAAATTAAATTTACATTAAACACAGCAGTAGAGCTTTACTTAAATAAGTATACTTAATATAACTTAATTTAAAGTTATGAAATATTATATCTGCATAAGATAATACATAATTCTTTGCCCCCCTCATAGCTCAATGATTAGGTGTTGCCTATCCATTACATTTAGCGGTTCGAATGCAGTGGAAACAAATATTTCTTACAAGGCACAGAAGTCAGATTTTAGTTCTGTAGTTTACGCGGGTACACATTTAAATAAAACACCTTTAACGGTTTATAACGCGAAATATACCAAGTAATTCAATTTAACGAAGATATTTCGAGTTTTAAACTGTTACAATTGTTTCTGACTTCGATGACTGAGAAATGTGTTCACTTCATGCCCCACAAAAGAAAACGGGATTAATCTTTCATACAATCCCATTTTGATAAAACTTATTATAGACCAGTTTTTTCAATAATCGAAGCTACAAAAATACTTAACTACTTACTTATTACATATTTTTAATTTACGTGTATAAATAACTACTTAATACGAACAGAAATACTTTAATATATCAATTTAGATTTGGTCCCCACAGGGACACGCTTAGTGTTGCTTAATTTATTTTACTATTCAAATTTCTGACGCAAACATTTAAGCAAACCGGTTATAACCGGATTACTTTCATATAAAAAAAACATTTCTTAATTTTCATTAACAAACTATTCAACATTAAAAGCTTTGTTATCAACTCCCTTACTCGAAGCTTTTGCATTATCAGACAATTTGACTTTCTTATCTCTAAACTCGACTATGAAGTAGAAAAGCACTCCTACAATCATGGTGGCTGCCAGGACGTACGTCTTGGAAGAAGTGCGGAGATGCGGTGAGATTATGTAGGCGATGATGTATCCAACGGACTCCCATAGACGGAAATTGGAGAAGGCAGCCTCCTCACGTCCGGGGAACAATATTCCGAAGAACGCTAGAAAATTATAGTCGTTATTAACTACTGGCTGAACTGGCAAAGGACAAAATTAGATTCCCATAGATATGGTTTTGTAAGTTAATCTTAAACTTATAAGAACAGTTTTTATAGGAAACCATTTTCATAGCGCACGCAAATGAAAGCCACAATGATAGACAATTTTCCGTTTTTACACACCCTTTATCTTGCTTAAGTCGCAGCCTGACGATTTAAAGCCTTCGTCGATAAATGTTCCACCAAAAAAAGTATTTTTTTTATTTCGAACCAGTATTTTCTGAGCGCTTTCAAAGAAACAAAAAACAACTCTTCAACTTTATAGTATTATTGTATATTCAAAAATTATGGAACGATAATTAAGATTTTGAAAAGAAAACGGAAAGTATAAAAGGAACACAGTACAAGTGAAAAATCATTGTCCCCCGCAAAGGAGAATGGGTATAATGATTAGCAGCAAATGTGGACCCAATCAAGCAACCCAGCCCTCAAAAACAACCATTCTAAAACTAGAGAGATCTTCTCAGGGAGAATTCCTATTTAAGACGAATACTATATCATGACGTTTTATAAAACTAGAGGCAGACACATTATATACTAATACTAATAATAACAATATATACATAGGTAAATTTTGCCTATAGCTTAAGTACTTTTAACGGTTTCAAACAAGAAATATATTAGTTCAACTAAAAACCGAAAATAATACGACTCGGATAGGACTTGAACCGGGAGGTCATCGTCTATTTGTATCAAACTATTGATACATGCACTTCTCGCACAATATATTAGTAGACTAAACTTTTACTAATAAATTTCGCGTTTCGTTCCGTTAAAAGGGTTTAATTGAAATGTCTCGTGTTTAAGGATCTCATTAGAGTTACAGTAAGAAAGCTATAGATAATATTGTTTGTTGTAATGGCTTACCGTTGATCTGAACCAGCCACACCGAATCACACAAACCCCAGAGGATAGCAATGATGAACATCACATAGGCCTGGTGGGCTTGAGGTCGCCATAGCAGCAGTGTTGCCAGCAGACACAGATGAATGACCGTAGCACCACAGATTAGAGGAATTCGTCCAGTAACCTAGGGAAATGTAAAAATTTCTTATTTGTCTCTCGTAATCTTAAAATTGTAAATTATTTATACTCTTTAATACAAGGGAAATAATTAATCTAATGACACAAAAAAATAATAGGTTTTGCCGTTACCTAAGTCTTTCAGTTGTTTATCTATATTGACCCCCCTGTACTTAGTGTCGTTTATTTTATCTGTTATAACTATAAAAGTATATAATCTGCCTTTGATATTTAATTCGTATTATTATTTTGTATCTGTAGTTTACAAAAGCTCGTAATTATTGCCGAGCCCCAAGTAACTACGACGACTGAAAGTCCTTAAAGCTAAAATCATGTTAGCTTAAGTATGTTTCTGATTTTGACCGGTTTAAAGTAGTTTTATGAATCTGTATAATTTTCAATAACAACGATTACCTTTGTTCTGAATAATTAAGTAGAATAAAGGGCATGTGTTATTTTTGTTGTGTCCTCAACCTTTTTTACATGCAACTGACCTTAGCAATATAACCAGTGACCACGCAGCCCAGAGCATCAGCAATGCCGAAGGTTAACATCACGTACCCAACTGTACCAGTACCAATAGCACATGACACGAACGACTGCAAAAATTTTTTTTAGTGATGTAAAAAATATATACAAAAAAAAACTCACCTTATCAAATCCCTTTATAAAATTACACGAATAAGTGTAGTTTACGCATTTAAATAAAACATTTTATATAAAACGGTTTTAGAAGCGATATATATTAGTGAAACTTATTTGAATAAATTATGGTCACGGGGAGAATAAAGATGGAGAGTGTCGCTGATGTCACAGTAAAAACTGCCATCTGTTCCGCCGAAGTTGATGTGCTTAGTAAATTTCGAAAAGTCGGGCCGTAATAATAATAAGTTTCACTAATATATATCGCGTTTTAAACCGGTTAAAGTGTTTTATTAAAACGTTCATGTACCTTATTTATCACTAGCTGTGACAACGACTTCATCCGCGAGAATCATTATTTTGGGTATCGAAATTGGTTTCTGCAAACCGCGTCTCTTTATGACTTAGTGTTAGCCATGACGTTGATCGCATCCCTTCCCGTCTTCTTGCAAGTTAATCTTAAGAGATAACATATAGCTCGCGGACTTTTTAGATCATTTAAAGAGGAATCATTCTTTCATAAATTATCAAGGTATTTTGAACCGTTTTCGCAGCGTACGCATCTGTTACAAAATGAAAAATTTCCTGTTTGTTTACAGTGTATTTCGCTCTATAAGAAAGGATGTTACAGACTTCCTCGATAAATACTCTAACGAACACTAAAATAGTTTTTCAACTCGTAGTTCCCGAGATTAGCGCGTTCAAACAAACAAACTCTTCAGCTTTATATATCAGTATAGATTCTTCATAGTTAGTCGAAATATTTTCTAGTCAATTATTCAACGCCTTATAAATATAAATGTCAAGAGAAAGTTTGGACATAATAGGCGTTAAGAATTATATTCCTGCATATACATGTTATATATGGATTTAAGTGCTAAAATGCTTCTATGACTTAGGAGAGGTTACCTCTGCCTTTGTTTAATTTTTTTTTTATTTTTTAAGTTAAGATGAATTGAATTATATTTCAACTAGCTGTTACCCACGACGTCGCCGCGTCCCGTCGTTCTTGCAAGTTAATCTAAAAACAGACATATATTCTCGCGGGCAATTATTTAGATCGTGTGAAAAGGAATCTTTCTCTCATTTAAATAAAACACTTTAACGGTTTAAAACGCGATATATTAGTTAAAGTGTTTTATTTAAATGTGTACTACTCGCGTAAACTATAGACAGTATCTTTCTCTCATACATATAATTTGGATATCTTGAACCGTTTTCGCAGAATGGAAACCCTTAAATATGAATAACTGTCCCCGTATTTCCCACTGTCTCGATAAATGCCAACATGAAAAGAGTTTTTAATTAGATCCAGTAGATCCTGAGATTAGCGCGTTCAAGCAAACAAACTCTTAACAATATTAGTATATCTGAAAAAAATAATTACGGCCGTAAAGTCAGCGCCGAAGAACGCCTGCTGCAGACCGGTGAAAACCATGATGGTGATCATCATCAGTTGGTTGGGTTCAACCAGAAGTTTCAATGTCGCCATCAGCATTTCAATGCCTCCCATTCCAGACACGGCTCTTCCAGTATCATACCTCAAAAATACAAAAGGGTTAAGCTTAAGAAACAAAAGTTTCGGTCGAATAGGGCACAAGTCAGATTAACTTAAACTTATGAAAAAGATACTTTATTCACTGGGACACGAAGTAAGAACAAACAAAACTTTTGAAGTTATAATATTCATATAGACACTAACCTCTTCATAGAGTCGACCCCAATAGCAACAATAAGTGCTGCAGCCGCCATGCAAGCCAGATAGATGCCTAAAAAGAAATTGTAATTAAGACTTAATATTAAAATTTAAGAGGAGAGAGGAGAAGAAGAGATACGAAGGTCAAACATATACGTAACTCGATGTTTAACCATTTTTCCTAGCATCGGGTTAAGCACGAGTGCTCCCGGTTTCGAATACCAAGAAAACAACAAGGCAGAGATCTGATCATCTACTTCTCTGTATTAATAAAACGATCAGTAAAAGTTACACAAAACAGTAGCCCCATGTCCCAAAAAGGAACACGAAATTTTAATGAATAAAATTACTTATAAAGTCGATAATACTATATAAATAAACAAACAGTCTCCCCGTGACCACGGCTGCTGCAAAGCATCCCAAACGTCGGGCCGAAGTTAAAAACCATTTCCAATTAAGTTTCACTAATATATCGCGTTTTAAACCGTTAAAGTGTTTTATTTAAATAAACAACCAGCGAAACAGATTGTTGTTGATGTGGTAAGTTTTCGTCTTAGATCTAATAAACGTAATGTAGGGAATTAAGAATTGACTTGATTCTTACCCACTAGCATCTGAATCTTCTCGTAGGGCTGCCGCTGTAGAGCCTCTGCTGCATCAGCACTTGGCAGGAAGTTGGCTCCGCAAATCTCAGGGATCATGCTGGCGTTTACAGCAGTTACAGCGGCATGGTTATCACCAGACGTCAGAACTGAAATATGGTAAAATTCGCATTAGTTGTAACTTTTACTCTTTAATTATGCGCGGAGAGCAAGTTTCAAAGTTGGTATTCCAAGAAACCTTTTAATATTTTGCGGAATAAAAAAAATACTACTTGTATTTACAACACGACACAAATATGTATCCGTTTTATGCACTAAGGAGAACGTTGTTATATTTATGATACAAAAACGAGTGGCACTTGATAGGTGGTAAAATACGCCATCTAACATCTTAACAAGATGCGCCGTGAACCTGTGTTTGCTTTGGATAATTAATAAATTATATACCATTCATATTAACGCCGCATTAATTAGTAATATCTAAAATTGCATAAATTAATATTTATAAGGGCTAAGGGCTAAGATACAACAGATAAAAGAGACAGAACTAAATTAGAAACGTAGATCTCAGCTATCCTTCACAAAATCGTGATTTTAAGTTAACGGTTTAAAACGCGATATGTTATATTAGTAACTTGGCCTTGTTACTGTTGCAAAGCATCCGAAACGTCGGGCAGTAGTTAAAATAAGTTTAACTAATATATCGCGTTTTAAACTCGCGTAAACTGCAGACTGTAAAATCATGATTCATAATATTAACATGTATTAGTAAAGATCTTACCCAACGACGAGATTAGATTTCCCCAAACTTGGTTCAGCTGGAAGATCATAAAGAATAGACCGAGGAACCTCGTCAGCAACGCTTCGACTGATATATTTGATATCTTGCTGTGTACCTCCGACACCTGGAAATTATATTGTTAAGTTTAAGACGCCACTTATTGTCTAAAATCCTCATACCGGCTGGGGAGTACGAGGCGAACATATGCGTCCATTATACTGAATTGATTGTACTATTTATCGAGTATTCGATGAGATTTTTGTACTCATTGAACCATATCATCTAAGTGAGGTATAGGGCTGTTAGATGCAGAGTAGTAAAAATGCGCAATTAACTTAGGCGAAAATTATTATCATGTAAGAATTATGTTAACAATTTTTGGTCACTTTGCTCTTGTAGATTTATATTTTTAGACTATGAAAATATAAGTCAAGTTTTAAAATTGCAGTTAGGCAACTGTGCATCTAGCGGCCTCATATATGTATCTATCTATCAGTTACTCTAAGCTCTCTTTATGTATTACAAGTAATAATATAAGTGATAATTCGTTTGCTAGTTTTGGTAAAAGCGCGATGTTCGGCTTCAGTTAAAGGTTAAAGAAAACAAAACACAAAACTACCCTCCATAAATTTTCTATGGAGGGTAGTTTTGTGTTTTGTTGTATTTATGTCTATCTTTTATGATTTACCGTTTAAGTGATAATCAAATCTGTTAAAAATTAATGAATAATTACCATTTATTTGTTAAAGCTGTATCAACAATAATATCAATCTTATAACCAGCAAAACAACGTCGGTTCAGCTAGTATTAGGACTTGAATAAATACTAACCACAGATAAATAGGTGCATTTGGCGCACCAGAGCGGCCCCCTCTTCCCAAGCCCACGCACAGGCCAGCTGGTATCATGGTGTAGAAGGAAGGCCACAACTGAGCGGCTATGAACGGCATATACGTCACGAACGAGAGCGAAATCGCCCATTTCGTTCCGATCCATCTGTAAAAGGTTTGGAGAACTCTTGAAATAATTACGCAACTAAAAATCTATTAGCTAAAGAGTTTTGATTGTGGAAACGACCAGAACAACGGAACACAAATATATTTTTTAAACATGTTGGTCTTCGTCTGGATATCTGGACATTAAACTTCTAAAGTCTTGGTCACGAACCACCGTCTACATAGGATAAGGCCGTAAAGACTAGTCGCGATTCGGTTACAGTCTCTGGATTTTCAAATATCCAAACCCAAAATAGGTCGACATCACATCTTGTTTAGACGAAGAAGTAGTAGAGGTCCAACGATGGGCTTATTTGTCTTCAACTACGGCTTTAATCGCGGTTCTTGTGACAAACAGACAGACAATGAAGTCTAGCTTTCAAATACTTACTTAATCACAGCTGTTGGTAGGAATATATTGGACAATATAAGTCCAGCATACACGGCAGCTAGCGAACTCAGGCCAAGGCCTTCTTCAGGGTTTATGGAGCTCTGAAGATTAGCAGCTCCCTGTAATCATAAATACATTTTAGTCCTACTTGAATGAAACCATATATTATTTTTTAGGGTTTATACCGTTCTTGCGATCTAGGTTTTTTTTTAGGTTTACACCCAATGCGATCAACCATTAATACAAATAGTGGTATTAAATTCATATTTTATTACTTATATATGTAATTCCGATGAATTTAAAAATCTTTATCTCAGGAACAAGTGATTCGAATTGAAAGAATATGTTTGAGTTGGATAGATTATTTATCGAGGAAGGCTTTGGGCTATATAATATCAAGCTGCAACTATTAGGGGCGACAAAACAGCTAAGATTGTACTTGCATAAACGACGGGATTTATAGCGATGCAGAAATTTGTTTTGTTTTCAAAATAACTACTGTCACACGGTACAGCTAGTGTTATATCTGTCAAGGCTTGGTCAAGTACCAAGATATTCTTATATTGGTTTGCCATTTCGGTCTTGAACTAAATTAAATATGTATTAACTCAAAGCTAAATACAATTAAAATCTTAACTCCTATACCATGGTCAGGGTATAAAGACTAAGCTTGTCAAATAGCAATTGCATCTGATTAAACAAAGCTACATAAAGTGCTCAGGCGCATTCAAATACAAATATTGATCTAGTTTACGACTTAACGACAAATACAATGATAATTTAACGCAAATTCAGTTTTTCGAATATATATTTAGATAATTCGCTAGTCATTTGTATACGTGGATTTTGAGGGATTGCTAGTGCAATAGTTGCTAAGTATGGTTACTTATCAGTCATGGGTTCGATTCCTAGATTTATTTATCATGTTTATTAAACAGTCTGTGGGGAACGTCTGTATAGAATAAGGGTTGTAGTAATAACGAAATACCATCCACAGTTTTTTAGTAAATAGGTCGACGGCGCATCGTCCTGATATCATATGACTGCGGTATTGAACCTTCCATCAAGCCTTTGCCTGTCCGTGCACCTCTATGAAAAAAAGTGGTAAGTTCTGAATAATGTCTGACCCGAATAACAGAAAATGCCAATGGGTTCTAATCTAAAACCCTTTACACTAAACGTATGTGGTGTATTATATTCATGGCGATTATCTAAATTACTTTAAATGGACTTTTGAAGAGTTGAACTACAATTGCTTTTAAAATTTTGATTTCGTCAATATTATGTGATTAAAATATTACTATCTGATATCACTCATTATGTCTTTTATCTCAAGAAAAATACAATAACAAATAAATTAGAATATCGCTTTATCATAGTAAACCTCAAATGACTTACTTTATAAGTTTAATCTCAAAATGTAAAGAAACAAATCTAGTTTATAACATTTGTCATAGATGCGACTATCGTTTAATTTGTAAACGGTCTGTTGTCTATGATATTCGTAAACTATCTCAAATGACCTCAAGACACTTATTCAAAGGACATCTTATATAGAGGTACTCACTTTTAATAAATCACTTTAACAGTTTAAAACACGATATATATTTGGAACGACACGACGTTTCAGATGCTTTGCAGCAGCCGTGGTCACCTCTGGTCGGGGCTCAACAGTAGTTACAATGATTTCCAGTTGTTGTTTCATTTCAATATCTCGCATAAACTACAGACAGTATTTAATTTTGTGGTTATTTTTTATCTCAAAGGTAAACAGAAAATTTTGAGAGCAGTTCACTTGATGCAGGGCGAAATATCCCAACCCAGCTGTCGACCTATTTTGGCCTTAGGTATGGAATTTCGATGCTTCCCCATTTAATATCCAGATTTCCAGACAAAGCCCAAAGTGTTTTAGAAACATTATAAATTGATTAAAAAAATCTTGGGGATGGAACCCCCGATCAGCGTGATTATTAGCCACACGTTGTACAAAACCAGAATCACAACTTTATACTTCTAACTTTAAATTATAAAGTCTCTAAACTGACTTCAATAGATTAGTTTTTTAGGATTGTTTTCGGTGTCTATGAAAAACTTATCAATATTTTGAGCCATTCGAATCCCCATCATATGACAATCATATGACGCAGTCCTAATGTAACATTAAATTTATAGTCGTAATTATTTAACTTAATTTTATATATACTTACACTGTACGCTGTAAAGTGAGCCATAAAAGCCAAGCTGATGATGACCACATTCTTCACGATCCGCTTCGTTTCACTCGGCTTAAAAGCTTTTTCCTCTTTCACTAGAGTCATGTTCACTTTTTTCACTGAATTTCAGATCACAATACTGAGCGATACACTATAAAATAGCAAAATCAAATATTATTAACGGTTTAAAACGTGGGCTGCTGTAAGGCATCCAAAACTTCTAAACGCAGTTATAATATATTTTCAGTTTTTAACCGTTAAAAATATGACATCTTTTGTATACTACTTACACAACAATAAACAATGTTTAATGATTCCAATTTAAAAAAAATACTAATCTAGAAAGCTTTATTATAACGATAAAACACTATTTTTAATCGAAACACTAAAATAACACCTTATATATAACAGTTAACATTCGTTTTAGTTGCAAACGTACTGACGAGTTCAAAAGATAACACGTGATTGATAAAAATTGACCAACACACAGGTAACCCAAATGATCAACGAATTACTTAGTAATTAAATGACGCAATTAATGATAGTAATAATTATTACTATTAATGATAATTAGTATATATTATGAACTATATCATTAGAGCGTGGCCAGCTTATAACGTATATCATTTTAAAATTTGTATTTATGTACGAAACACAGTTGAGAAAAAAGATCAGGTGTTGCACACTTATTTATAAATAGGATCACAAAAGTATTTTATAGTAGCTGCGCCCGCGACTTCGTCACCGTGGAATATTTATTTTGGGTATCATATTTATATTGGCAAACTACCCTTATCAGCTTTCTAAATTATGACTGATAACCACGACGCCGGTCGCGTCCTGTCGTTCTTGCAATTTAATTTTAAAAGATAGACATAAACTGTCGGTACTTTTATAGATCATTTAAAGAGAAATCATTTATCCCTACAAATTTTTTGGGTATCTCGTTGAAATTTGATTGTCGTCTACAACTCAATGATGCTGAAGATGTAAAGATAATGTCTAAGATAAAAAATATATATGAAATCTATTACCTTCTTATAAAAGTGTAAGGTTCGTTATGTAATCCCTAACGATATTGCTTCAGTTTCGAGTTTAAATATTTAAAAATTCAACTGAGATTGGTTCACGACTTTCGTACCAAAACATATATGTACTCTCTTAGTTAATTTAAGACCGGCGCTTCCATAGTTTATTGGTTAAACGAGGATTTCTATAGCTTGAGATCTAGCTCCAAAGGTTTCAAACCTCTGACAATTAACATAAACGGATCCAATAGGTTTTGCCTAAAGTTAAGCTAATCTAGTAAAGATAAAACTAGTGATAAAATTTATTATTCGGTTGCAAGTCAAAGAATAGCCAGTCGTGAGAACGATAATTGTTTTTGTTTCGCGTAACAAACGTATTGCGGTTACATCTTTGAATAAAACCGCCGATTGGATTGTTGGCAAAGATGATTACAGTTGATAAGGCTGCCTTATGTTGTAATATTTTTTATTGTAGTCATCTTAAAGTCCCCTGTGGCTGGGAATTTTGTATTTAGCCTTATGAAATCATGACCGAAATCGATATTGTTCGATCGAGGGGATTTTTCAATCTACAATAAATGTTTACTAACATATAAAGCTAAAGAGTTTGTTTGTTTACCCCGGTAATCTCAGGAACTACTGGTTTGAATTGAAAATTAATTTTTCAGTTAAGAGCACGCTACGAAAAGTTACCCAAAAAATATGTATGAAAAAATGGTCTAAAAAAATATCGGCGACAGTATATGTCTATATTTTAATAATAACTTGCGAGAACGACGGGACAGGGTAACAGGCTATAATTTTTAAACATATGGAGGTTTCCAAAAATTTTGTTGCCCGAAATAACTATTCTACGCGGACGAAGTCACCGACACAGCTAGTACAAAAAATAAGAGAGGAATTATTTCGCCTAAAAAATTATAATTTGTTATTATAAGTATATACATACATCTGTATTTTCATTTGTATATTTTACGAGTATATTAGATGACATTAACAAGAATTTGTAACTTTTCGTATGTATGGCTGGTATGAATTACTATTTTTTATAAAATACACTTCGACTGGAATATTATTAAATGAGTGGTAGAAACACAGATAAGAAAGTCGTGAACTTTTATCGCGTTTCAGTTTCAGGCAAAAATCCAGATTTCCGGATATCCAAAGCATATTTTGTTAGCATGTTTTATGGCTGGAGTATTTCGCCTTCCATCAAGTTCATAAAAATTATTTTCGCGTATCCCGTGACGTAACCTCGATATGTATTATATTATTTCAGTTAGAAAAAAAATTCGTGAAAATAATTTAAATTTTATTTTCAGAAAATACAAAACACCTGTACGTAAGTAGGTACGTGACTCAATAACAACAGTGTAACCAAAATGTCTTTGAAATATTCAAACATGAGAAACATCTGTAATCGCTTTCAGAGCGTGAATAAATTACATTCTTTGTACTACCTACATGACAATAAAAATTATTGTTAAGCATGTTTTAAGTTATTGTTGAAAGCGATGACCTTATGTATTCAAAGCAAAGCGTCGTGTATATTTCCGGATTCATCTTATTTTTAATTTGAAATGAATATTGACGAAGACGCATTTTAATGAAACACTTCTAACATTTAAATAAAACACTTTAACGGTTTAAAACGCGATATATTAGTTAAACTTATTTGGAAATGATTTTTAACTTCGGCCCGACGTTCGGTTGCTCCGTCGGAGACCGTCCCCCCGTGACCACGGCTGCTGCAAAGCATCCGAAACGTCGGGCCGAAGTTAAAAATCATTTCCAAATAAGTTTAACTAATATATCGCGTTTTAAACCTTTATAGTGTTTTATTTAAAGGTGTACTACTCGCGTAAACTATAGACAGTATTTAAACACTTCTAACGTTAAAACGCGAAACGTATTACCTACATTTTAATTCGGATGCTTCCAAAGTATTCATAGAGCCGGGTTGTAGTTATAATAAAATTTAAATTACGTTAAATAATATATTCGTTTTAAACCGTTTAAATTGTTTTATTTAAATGAGTACTACTCGAATACTGTCTATAGTTTACGCGAGTAGTACACATTTAAATAAAACACTATAACGGTTTAAAACGCGAAATAATAGGTAAACTTATTTGAAGATGATTTTTAACTTCGGCCCGCCGTTTCGGATGCTTTGCAGCAGCCGTGGTCACGGGGAGGCTGAGTACTACTCGCTTAAATTGTAGACGAAGACAAAGTCTAAAGCCTGAGGTCTAAGAATATAGTGTTTTGACAATTAAATATGCTAAATAAATGACTATCTGTCATTTACTTAAGTATAGAGACTTATCATCATTGAAACTGCCTATTGTAATACATAGTTCAATCAATAATCATTCTTCGTAAACAGCCCCATTACGTAACGCGTTACGTGAAGAAACACACATGATACAAGTTATTTTGTTATTTATTTTATTATATGTATTAAAACAAAAAAAATCTTAATGTCTTTTTTATAATCAACTACCTACCCTGATAATTTTACACTTAGTTTGAATTTTCAGAGACTTAACTTTGGTGAAAATAGGCTTACTACTAGAATTTCACTACTGAAGAAGAAAAAAAATAACTTAAATAAACCTACGCATGCACAAGACAGACACATTAGATTGATGGTTTCATGAGGCTAAATAAAAAAGTTTGACTTAAAAATAAGAAAAATAATCATTATAGCGTTGGTTGTTTAGCTAGTCCACACGACTAGTGGCCTTTAAGTTTTCCATATTCATGTTAAACAACGTGATTTATCCAACACGTGTTGAACAATTTGTTGTAGGGGAAAATGCACTATTAAAAAAAAACAATTCTATATATTTATAGAAAAGAAAAATAAGATTTATACCATAAGACACGCAAAAACATTTAAGAATTATTACTAAATATAAAAATTAAGATTTTCATATTAAAAAAAAAATAAAAAGAGCATGTTTTGTTGAAATGAAACTGGTTTTCACTAAGTCCTCAGATGGTGGACGGCGATGGCATACGCAAGTGAAAATTAAAAAAGTTGTAAAAATATAAACTTTACAGAAAAAAAGACCAGACAAACTAACAAACATAAATGTGCGTTTTGAAATGAGTTTAATATAATTTGATAAAGTGACCTAATGAATGAGACTAAAAAGTCTCATTCATCAAAATATATATTCTGTAGTAACAAAGAGATTAGTCAAATATTTGAGGATTTAAAACTTATCTTCATCTAACAGCAATCGTGATGACCTACTTGAATGTCTATAGGTAGATTTGTTCTAAAACCGGCCAGTATCATTTCGGCAAACGAAAAAAAAAGTGTTTAACAAATTTTAATAAAAAATTAAATAAGAAATCCAAAGTGACTGAAAATAAATTGTTTCAGTGATATATCCTTTACCCTTCGTGAAATATAAAGTGGATACATTTTTGTATCTGTTTCTTTGATTGCGGATTGGTATCCCAGAAAGAATATTATTGCCGATCACAGATAAACTATTTGCTTAGCAATTATTTATAAGAAAATCAGTCGCTGGGTTCAATTACTAAATCTATTGTAAAAATGATTAGACAATTAAACTGACGTTATTATAACCAATTCTCACTGATTAGTGAGAATTGACTGTTGCAAATCCTAATTCATGAAACACTTATCTTTAAGACAGGAAGTAACATTGGCCTTGCTTTAAGGATAAAATATATGACATCGCCATCCATTTTTAAATGTCTTTCCGTCTTCCTGTACATAAGTATCATCGTCTTGAATAAATATTAATTACAGTACTCCGTAATGTAAACACCGGGGACGGGTTGTATATAATTTGGATTAATGTTATAGAAAAATAAACAACATATTAAGATTATATTAAATAAAATGCTTTATACTGCAAAACGCGAAAGATATTAAAATTTGACAGAAGGTGCCATCTTTAGTCCTCGTGGACACAGTCAAGCCATCTGAAACGTCTGGTCGTAGTTATTCTTCTTCTTCACTGGCATAAACTACGGATAGTAATAATGATTTTTTCTTTTTTCAAAGAAAAATCCATTCGTTATTTAGTACAA